GAAGGTTGAGAGACGTGCTCGGTTCAAGTTGGTTTTGTTACTTTTCCCACTAAACCTACGAATTACAACGACCTTTTGGGTGTTGACTGGGGATGAATAACAGAAAAAGATGGATCTACGGAGTACGGGTAGCGGGTACGTAAGTTGTTAGTGTGTAGTGTACCTACGCTAGATTTCGACTACAGTAAACCCTCTCCATAACGATATGAAAAAACACACACTTCGTATCGTTATGGAGAGATTATCGTTAAGGGAGATTTTTTAGCAAAGTGGGTACTTTATAGTATTTTTTTAAAAAAACTTTTAATAATTATTATAAAAAATATTTTTTAATATAAATTTAAGTTATTATATTTTTTTAAATTATTAATTATTAAATTATATTATTATTTTAATATAATTATTATATATTAAAAAATATATAATATTTTATATAAATAAATAAAATAAAAATTAGCAATATTTAATATATAATTATGTTATATATTTAATATTACATATATTTTTTTATTTTTTATATATTTATAATATTAATTTATATTGCTATATTTTATATTAATTTTATAAACTTTAATTATTATATAAATAAATTAAAAATTAACGTAAAATATAACAATATAAAATAATATTTTAAATATAAAAAAATTATAATATTAAATATATAACGTAATTATATATTAAATATTACTATTTTTTATTTTATTTATATAAAATATTATATTTTTTAATATATAATTGTTGGTAGGTGTACGTATTAAAAAAAATAGAAATAATAATAACAAGTGTAAAAAACGGTTGTATATTTATGTTTAAAAAAGGAATTATTTAATTGAGATTGCGCAAAAAAGCGCAATTTATTTATGTGCGGGGTATATAGTGACTTCTTGTTTTTATTATGCAACCATTAATAATAATTACATTAAAATATAATAATATAATAAAAATAAAAAATAAATATATATTTTATATATAAATAAATTATACTTTTTATATATAATTAAATAGTTTTTTTAATAATTTAATATATATTATTTTATTATTTTTATTTATTTATTTATTTATTTTATATTATTATATTTTACATTAATAAATATATATATATAAAATTAAAAAGTTAAAAAATAAATAAAAATAAATAAAAAATCTCATTTTTTTTTTTAATTTCCACATAAAAAAAAATCTTAATATAACGATATATATGGGAAAATCCCGAAGTTTCTAAGAATATATCGTTCAATCCAGAATATCGTTATATTATATGTAAAAATGGGTGTGTACAGCAAGTTGTATCGTTATGGGGAGATATCGTTATGGAACATAATCGTTATAGAGAGGGTTTACTGTAGTTGTAGATTTCGAGTTGGTCTTTCACTTGTAAAGTCAATTCTAACCTAGTCCCCTATTAAAGCTGAACTGTCCGCCCAGAAAGTCCAACAATGTCCCCCCAAACAACCCGCCTGTCCCACCACCCTATCCAAGCCAACAGCTAACCTTAGCGGGGACCCCCTACCCTAGATGCAGCTATGTATGTGGTGTACGCAGTGTACGTAGTGTACATACAATACAATCAGGCGGTAAGTTGTGGCATGCCATAATAATCTTGAACAATTCGTTGCGGCGCTAAACAAACGCAGAAACGTTCCAATCCTACCTAATCCTTACTTGGGGGGATTAGCTTAGCTATAGGGGGCTTATTGCGGGCCTGGAGGGGCTGCAAGGAAACATATTGCCCGTCCGCTGACCACTCAATTCACTGCACGACCTTTCTCTCTCGCTTCGCTCTCCTGATGATATTATAAAAAAAACATGTTCGAAGTCCACTGCACGATGAACTGGTAAAAGTATTCCGTACCTAACTTCCCACCTAATAACGTATAACCTACAGAATACACGACATGCCTAACCTACATATAGATCCAGAGACAACATAATAAAATAAATAAATAAATAAAATAATGAACGCAGGGGGGAGAAGAGAAGACAGACAAACAGATCATTCATTCATTCATTCATTAATTCTTTCCTTTCATCCTTTCCAATCCCCCCTCTTCCCCCCCTAATGCTATGCCCCAATCCTCTCTAATGCATTCCTCCCCCCTTCTCTCTTCTATTTTATCCCTTAGTTACTTATCCTAATTTATATAACCTAGATTCATTCCTCCCAATGGTTGAATAACTCCTCCCTCCACGCGACAAAGTGACATCACTTTGTCTTGTCTTGTTTCGTCTTGTACCTGATTAAATTATCTAGATTTCGCGTTTGAATAGCCAACTTATAAGTTATGACATTGGTGGCTATGCTGCCAACTCTCCAACCAACCTCCTCCTCCTCCCCTCAAACGGAATTATACTCTCCTTATACAAAATAGAAATAGTGTTGCATTAGTTGTTTTATTAATATCCCAAACAAGAAAGAGACCTGTCATTCGGCAGCGTTGCCGCATCTCGCATATTGTTTGTTGTTATTCTGTTGTTGTCCTTGTGTTGTTCATCACTCGTTTTCTATATCGTAGTGTAAGCAAAAGGCTCCAGTGTTCTTCTCTCTCCCTGTCCATCCGGGCGCAAACGAATAATCCAGAAGCTTGTGTCGCATCCTGGCCCTTGGTCGATCTCCCAAGGCCATGATTCGCACCGTGCACTCCCTGCCCAGTACCGAACAGGCCATGTATCCCGATTAGATGCACACATGGATCGCGCTTGGAAGAACCCAATTCTTATCAAGTTTTGACCGCTATGTACATGAGATCGTTACAACCCATCACGGACAACGCCAGGCGAGAGATTACAGGAATTGGAAAAGAGAGAAGAAGAAAAAGGAGTAACTTATAACGTATAGTATTATATATAGATCTCTATAAATCTTATTATTTCCCTTATACCTTAACCCACTACATAAGAATACCTCGGAGATGTGTTAGGTAGGTTTGTCAGTGGTAGTAAGTATTACCTATATGTATGTACCTAAGATCGGTTAGGTATCCAGACAGCCAGGTTGGTATAGATAGTTGTCGATATTCACTTTCATCCAGCTACCGAATCTGACTTCTTGGCTCTTTTACACATCCACTCTTTCCCCATCTCTGATCCGCTCCCGGCTAGGTATTTGCCTCCCTAGGCACGTACCGACATGTACACATAACCCAACCTTCCACATATCCTTTATGTACCTCCTAACCCCAATACTAGGTAGCTATCTCTCCTTTAGAGGATGGAAGGTTCGTGACATTTATCACGTGAGATGGTAGCTTAGGTGTTAAGCAAATATCTACCTGCCCTTTGCCAACATAATAGAAGCCATATAATGGGATTTAGGATTGAAGCATGGCTCGTGTTCGCCGTTCTGGTCATGTCAGCTAAAGCTTAATTGCTCATCTCTTCGTAACGAGGGGTTTGAAGACTCCAAGGTCAAACTATAAAGTATTGACGGTATACGTATTTAAAGGAACTAACAAACGTGTCGGTACTGTTTTGTAGAATATAATAGTTGTTGTTGTAAAGTCATAGCTCATTGATGAACTAAACTCGAGATATTCATGGTAAACCTAAACCGCTGTCCATATAAATCTCATTGAAGTCCTATGGCAATAGCCAATTACTTTAAGAGCACAGAATATACAACTTGTATTGATATAACATAACCATTTCAAGAGCATATTCATCGTTTTCTTCTATGGCCGGATTCCTTTTAGGGTTTCCCATACGTCTTCTTCTGAATATAACCGTAACCTAAACAAGGGGTTGGCGGGCAAAGCGGCCTTATTACTGACAATCATGTCATATTCTTTTGCTCGCTTAGATTGGAGGCTTCGGCAAGAGGCATATATGGGGCATGATAGGTATACTATCCATGAAGATAATTCTACATTATAACTACACACCGGTCGATATTTCGAAACAGAAAGGGATGCTCGGAATATAGTAAGATAGTTGGCGTTTAACTACAACTGGAGTGTTTCCGTTATCAAGATCAAAGGGATTTCCCTAAGGTCTATCCTAACTACAAATACTAACTATTAAGATATGGTTTTGTAAAACAATCTGGTTTAAAGGGGGCTGTTTATAAATTTATATTGTTGATGGAAGTTTTAGCTAGCCTTCTTTTTCGAGATGATACGGCTAATAGTAGTAGCCACTTGGTTTGGGATTCACCTGAAGTTGAATAATACAAGGATGATGGCTACCGCGCCCTCGGGTTACAAACAGAACGTATATGCTCCTTGCCGTGAAGTTATTCAGCTCGAGTCACAATATTATTAACACCCTGACTTGGACACCCCATAGTTAGAACACTTCTCGTTGACTACTCACGCCCCAGCACATAAGGGGCCAGTGAATAAATCAAAATCGGTACACGCAGAATAGTTTCTCGTTAACTTAACCTGCCATCATGATCGGCTCGTTACTTGCAGCACGGCAATGCTTAGTGATAGACCGACGTAGTGATGCAGGCGTGGTGGCTGATAAAAAGCAATATTACTTTCTACCGGCGCGGATCACGGCAGCACAGGGTGGAAATCTATTTGTCCACCGCCTTCTCGGTCCCCTCCCCCCTCGGCATTGTCGCATCGAGGCTTGAGCTAGGTAGCGACCCATGCTAGCACATCTAGATTCATCGCCAGCCCAATTGTGATTGTTAACTTTTCGTGCTCAACTAGCTTTCCTATCTACTACAGCGAGCACGTTTACAAGTTCACTGGATGTTGAGTATAGTTGAGCTAAATGGTGCATTAGAACTTGCTTTCCTTTATCTAGACAAGCGCTCTGTAGAAAAGTTTTGTTTTCGACTTGTCGTAACAAGCTTAGGTCCATAATAGCCCACGATTACCCCCACATCGTTTTCCCTTTCCCTCTACACTAACCAATGAAATCTCACAGTTTGCCTCCATGCCTTGCCATATATACCTTGATAACACACAGGCTTCCATCTTCACAGGTGTCCAGGATCTGTGACGTGTCCGCCTCCCAGTGGGGTGGTAGTCCCTTGGGACAAGCACACAAACGGGCTTGTGGTCTAGTGGTATGATTCTTCCTTAGCACGGTTGAGGTGCTCGTCCATCTCATCGTCGACTTGGAAGAGGTCCGGGGTTCAATTCCCCGCGAGTCCATCAATTTACTTTTTGCTGTTTGCCGCAATTCATTCCTTGTATTCCGGAGTGGATTATGGCGATTGACGTTCTTTTTTGATCACATATCTGATTCCGATCCGGGTATGTGTTAGATTGAAAACCGGATCCCGGTGTTGGATATCGCTCTTTCCTTTGTTTTGATGTTCGCGCGCCTTCACCTTTTCTGCTTCTTCTTCTTTTTATTATTATTCCATACTACCCTTCTCATCAATATGTTTAGAAAGTTTAATTTTTATTTTCGGTTCTTGTTATCATTTACTATCATTTACTTTTCTACTTTTTACGTTCGAGTGCTTACATTTTCGCACACACAGATCAGAAATGCATTTAATGATCGTGATGTCGTGATTCTTACAAGCGTCGCAAGTCGAAGTTGCCTGGTTCGCACATTATGCGCGTTATAACTTGTTATCTGATCATATCTTTCGAGTCTACTTAGATAGAGTCTGATGTTTAATTTTATAAATAATCCAACTACCTTTTTTTTTTCCAATTATTTTGTTTCGCTGTAGTGCATGAGCAAGGCAATCGTATACCTCTTAATTCATTTTTATTTCTCTCTTTTTCCTTCTCCCCTCTTCGCAGAACACCCCGCCGCTTTGATATGGTGGGCTGAGCACAGATCGACTCAGGAAAAAAAAAAATTTGACCCCGCCATCAGCCGAGAGCATTTCCCCTCCGTCCCCTCCATATCAGAGTGGGTCCGAATGTCGTCGTTGTGCAGGGTCCGATCCCGCACTTATGCCTTCCTTTATATTATACGTGCTTACTTTCTCACATTTACATACCTCTTGCCTAACCTTTCAAAACTCTTAACTCTCCGAGCTTAGTAATTCGGACTTAAGCATAGGCTAGATATTGCAAGGATGTTAAGGTGAGGTTAGTACTCTATAATCATCAGTTGACTTCGTGCTGCTAGTAATATAGCTGAGATGTCTAGGTCACATACCTATGTGATGACGCAAGGAGCTACCTATGCATGTTGGCTGATAGGCAAGCCCGGATGAACATTAGAAACCATCCTCGGTAGCCTGTTATTTCGCTACTTAAGTACACCTCATGCACTCTCCAATTCTATCCGCTATAACCCAGATGATCCATATAGCGGGAGTATTGAGACCTAATGTACTCATCGTATTTTTTCTTTTTCTAATTTTTGTGGATTCAATAATTTGTCAACCTAGAAACTTACCTAGAAACCTACCTCGTTTGAGGCCCGATAACCATAAGCCCTAAGACTTACACTGTTGGGCCAAGTGGGCGTCTCTCTTTATGTAACCAGGTACAAATCTAGATGGTAGCTATGTAGTAGCTTGCTACGATCTGCTAAAGACCAGGTAGGTCTTGGTCTGGAACTTCTTGAGTAAGACAATGCATATAGTATAACACAATGTAAAGAACTGACATCGTGTATATATGAACTTCACTGAAACAATAACTAGGTCAACCGACAGGAAAGGATGGCTAGCCTTGGCTCTGTGTAATATCAATTCGATGAACGACGATTTAGGATTGCGTGGGGTCTAGTTGGATATGGCAATTCTTAAACTGGACCTCTGCATGCTGCTTTCAGCAGAAAACTCGTAAATTCCATAGGACACAGCAACGATAGGTTGCCGGCCAGCTGCATACCACTCCATACTCATCACTGAAGCCCCAAGGTACCAGCATGATCGGATTGGCAAGTTGGGCTTATAGGCGAACGAATGAATTCCTTGGATATGTCTAGGTTAGGTACTCATAAGAGAGGGGGAAATCCCTGAGTGTGTAGGCAGTTGGCCAAGATAAACAAGGTGAAGTTGGTGGGCACTTAGGAATCCGCCTTATGTATAATATATTACCTTTTTCTATGCAAGTAAAGTATGGTGGTAGTAGAGAAATGCCGATACCTACACGGGTAGGCATACCCAATTTGTTGTGGGCTGGTGGTAATATATGTACCTAAAGCTTAGGTACCCGGATACATACATACATAGTACATATATATATATCTATGATGATGATGATGATGATATCTCATGTACACACAATAATTGCTTTCTATGCTGCCTATGCATACCTACATGGACATATGCTGAGCTTTAAGAAACAGCTGCCCAAAGATATCTATGTACTCCATGTACTATGAGGGCAAAGGACTTCCAGTCATACAATTTACTCCAATAAGATACATAGGTGACTTAATGTTTAAGTACTATCCTCTAACCTACATGTATTTACATATGGGAGGTGATACAGAGATATTAGGAGATATCTAGGTACCTATGAACATGATGTAGGTATCTACTTACATAGTAACCTATGTGCCTGCCTACTAGAACGTAGGAATACCTGGTACCTATTTAATAGTGAGATTTGACCTAAGCTATTCCACGCTGCTCTGCCGGTTTCCTTAGTACCTAAGTACATGCTACTATGTACATACATAGTAGATATCACTTATATTGATTAGTACCTGGCGCCGTAAGGAAAAAAAAAAGAGTAGTAACTATGTACATAGTAGTAGTAGTACTAATAGTAAGGCGTTGTCCGCCCATAAGGTGTTTCCCGGGACCCACTCATTCCCTAGCACTCCCATGGTCCAAGCTCCACCTCTACATACAGCACAATCATTACGCAAAAGGCACACACACATACACCTTTTGTAAGGCGCGACCTCAACTTTCATCACTGACTTAAACCTTCCTATCCCAAAAAAAACCTACCTATTTCTCCCCTCCTTCGCCTCTTGACATCTCTCCACCTTCACCTGCTTGCATCCCCCCAAAACCACATCAGGATTCAGGTAATTACCCTTCGTGTTATGAGAATACTGATCTCGGACTATTTTAGCCATTCATCAGGTTTTTTCTTTTTCTTTTCTGCGATCTGACGGAACAGCGGCCTGCACCCGCCTGAACCATCTGACTCCAGCATCTTCACGCACCTGAAATTCATCCACCTAACATTTCGCATCTTCATCATCACCACACCCCTCACTTTACCCACCCCAACCTTGGTCATTGAATACTCCCATACTTCCGCTATTCACCCGAGAACCAAAACATAAAATATTTTTTCCCCCTCTCATTCTCAACCTTAACCGCCGATCTGTACTTTCCGCCGTGAACCCTCCCCCACGAGATCTTACCTCCAAACACCTATAGCACCCCCCGGTACCCGCAAGGCTGATCTCTAGAGGCGAGGCTCAATACTTTGTTTCCGCTGCCGCTTCTTATAACCTGTGTAGCCCCACATTGAGTATTGAGAAGCTTACGAAGGACCCCGTACGAGAGAGGAGCTGTCCATGCTGATTTGGATGCTCCGCAGCGACGAGTCAAGTTGTCGTCACCGACTACCTGAGCTTCGGTAGTGGAGGGGGAGTTGATAGATACGTTCTCTGCGGCTTTGCCGCCCCGGCCTTCACCATGGGAAAAATTACGAAGACCATCCAACCTAAGCATAAGGAGACCCTGGTGAGTCCTCTCAACCCTCTTCCCACTATCGCTTCTACCTATCTATATACTTGCTAACTCCTTTCTTCTCTCCCCTTGTCCTAGTCTCCTTGGCTTCAGCAGTTCGTCGACACTGCTACATCGGCGCCACTGCCCCGCCTGCCCGAGACTCTCGCCACCTTCCCTTCACGATGGCCCTTCCCTCGTGGAGATCTGTATCACTGGATACCACTGCTTAACCGATTCGATGGGCTTTTGGAATCATTCTGCGAGAAATACAAGTTGAATGAAGGCCCACAGACCCGAGACTTTGGCTGTGAGATATTGCTGGAGACGGTTGACGGCGACACTCCAGCTCAGAAGGCAGCAAAGCTTTCCGAACTCGGATATGGCGAAGATGGCGACGTATCTCTTATTGTCTCTATACTAAAGTTTACGCAGATGCTACTGGATCATTGTGGCAACCGAAGCATATATGCAAGTAGTGCTCATCTGAATGACCTTCTCAATAGTACGGATTTCACCATTATCTGTGCCACCCTTCAGGTTGGTGTAGAACTGGCCCAACGCTACCAGGCTTCAGTTAAGCGTATTCATGGCATGACTACTCGACAAGTACACACAGCCCTCCTGGCAAATCATTATAATATCGACCTCGATCGCGTACAACAGCTGGCCCAGCCTTTCGTCAAGACACCGATCGTGAAGCTATCTGACGCTCCATCTTTGTCCACGCCAAGTAGTGCTAGCAAGAGCAAGGACAAGGCGTACGGCGGGAGCTCGAAGAATGTGGCTACTATGTTTGCCAATGACCTCTGTGCCATTGCCAAAACCGACGCAGCTGAGAACAATGCTTCTCAAGCTCGTTGGAGTGGTTGGGGAGATGTGAAGATCATCTACTATCCCGCATCAAGCTCATCGCATGAGCAGACGCAACAACCTATTCCAGACCGAGGCAATTCCAATGTGCCCTCCACCCCTACCCCGTTGAGACGCAGCAGCACATCGGCTGCCACGCAAACTACACCTCGCACTAGCGGTCAAGGAGCCTCAGAGGACAGCCCAGCGTCTATGACCCGGTCTCCTGCTTTTGGCCGTGAAGATAGCGGTGCGCCTAGCCAAAAGTCTCTGGAGATTCCTCAGTCTACAGTGGTTTCAACCTCAACCTATGAACTTCTACAGCGTGTGCCCGCTGATCTACCCAAGGAGACCAAGTACGAGTTTTTGAATCGATTGAGAGTTGCCAAAGCGTTGATGGGGTCAGTTGAGTCGCGACAGCAGGCATTGAAGGCACGGCTCTTGGCAATCCAGAATTTAGCGTATATCCATATTGAGCCTACCTTTGTGGAAAAGGTCCTCAGACAGGACAACGATGAGCCACGGCGGTTCCAGCTTGTTTATCAACTCGCTGAACTGATACATCCTGGGGCTGACGGTACAAATGTTATCCCGCTCGATTTGCAATCTATAGCGCTATCCCTACTAGAAGCCATCTCGGCTTTCCACACCAAAGTCCCCGATATATTTTCGGCCTTAAATGCTACG